GTATAGTCATTCTTTTTTTCAGAGCTTTGTATTGCTTCCAGAACTCTCTGAAGGGCTGGTTTTGTGGACATGAATTCCTTCAGCCTATTTATGTCATGGAAGATTTTTCTTTCCCCTTCGACTATAATAGACATTTTGGTTGGGTATAGTAATTCATGTATTCTTAGAAGAGCTGGTTTTGAGGACATGTATTCTTTTAGGTTGTTCGTGTCATGGAAGATTTTTCTTTCCCACTCAACTATAATAGACATTTTTCCTGGGGATAGTATTCTGGGTTGGCATCTACTGTCATGTAAACCTGGGAATACTTTGGTCGAGGCTCTTCTGGCTTTCATAGTTTGCACTGAAAAGTCAGCTGTAATCCTAATGCATTTTCCTTCATATGTGACTTGTTGTTTCTCTTTTTCAGCTTTCAGTATTGTCTCTTTGTTCTGTACACTTAGTGTTTTTAGTATGATGTGCCGTGGAGATCTTCTTTTCTGGTCCTGTCTGTTTGGTGTTCTATATGTATCTTGTATTTTTATGGACATGTTTTTAATTTTGGGAATTTTCTTCTACGATTCTGTTGAAGATCTGGTCCATGCCATTATCTTGGGATTCTTCTCCTTCCTGTATGCCTATGATTTGTATGTTTGGTCTTTTTATGGTGTCACATAATTCCTGCATATTCCATTCTTGGCTTTCTTAAATTTTTCATAAGCTTTGCTTGAGTCGTCTATCTGTCCACTTTATCTTTCAGTCTCAATATTCTGTTTTCCATTTCATTCATCCTATTGGTGAGGCTTTCTCCTGTGGTTTCTAATTGGCTTACTGAGTGTTTCACGTCTTTTTTCATTTCAGCCTGTGTAGTCTTCAATATTTCTAGCTCTTTTCTGAATTCATTCAGAAGTTTATCCCTATCTTCCTTCAGTTCTCTGATTTGTGTTCTTTAAATTCACTGAATTCTTTTATCATGTTTATAATTGTTCTTTTGAGTTCCATGTCCTGCATTATCTCTAGGGGGTTCTCATTGTACTCCTCTAGAGGACTATTGGTATTTGGTGGGGATATGTTACTTTGTTTTTTCGTATTACTATTTTTTCTCTGTGATTTTGATGTGAATTTCTTTTGTAGTTTCTGATTCTTGTGTGAGACTCAGGTCTTCAAGTTTAGGTCTGCTTCTTTTTGTAAACGTTATGTGCCTTTTTGGTTTATTTTTGGGCATGAAAAGCTGGTCAGTCTAAGCTTGTGGTTCTCTCTTTTGATTTTATATTGGAGTGGCCAGATTGCTTTTGTCTTCAGGAGTTCCCACAGAGGCCCAATTCAGATGAGGATCAGATGCTCTCAGGCTTTCTCCTAAGGCCTGAATCCCTCCAGGAAAGATTTTGGCCTCAGGAATTTGAGGGTTGGACTGGCCTCGTAGCAGTGCCCAGGAAAGATGCTGGTCTAGGCTGGTGGCCTTGACACTCAGTGATGTAAAGGGAGATGGGGGCGGGAAGAGGTCCCAAGAGCTTCTGAGGACTACACTGAGGAACTGGGTTGGTCTGGATGCAAAGGATCAGGAAATCAAAATGTCAGCCCAGGCATCTAGGAAAGAGGCTGGTATCTAGAAAAGAGGCTGGCAGGTTGTGCAGCCCAGGGAAGCAGAGGGAGGTGAGGGTGGGACCAGGCCCAGAGGGCTCCTGGGGACCTTGAGAAATAACTGGGTCCGGGTCTGGGTCGGGCCCTAGAGCTCAGCCCCAGTGTCCAGGAAATAGTCTGGCTAGCCGTGCAGCCCAGGGAAGCAGAGGGAAGTCTTATTTTTGAGACAGACTCACTACGCAGCCCTGGCTGGCTGGCCTGGAACTTGCTATGTAGACTAGGCTGGCCTTGAACTCACAGAGATCCACCTGCCTTTATCTCCCAAGTGCTGGGATTAAAGGTGTGTGCCACCAAGCCCAGCCCCTGTGCAATTAAATATATATTTTATTTATTTTTATTTTATATGTATGTGTTTCACCTGCACACATGTAAGTGCACCCATGACATGTAATGCCTGTGGAAGCCAGAAAAGCATGTTGGGTCCCCTAAAACCAGAGTTATGGATGGATGTGAACCTCAATGTGGGTGCTGGGAAGGGAACTGAGCTCCTCTGCAAGAGCTTAAAGTGATCTTAGCCACTGAGCCATTTCTCCAGTGCCCCCTATGCATTTTAAAAGTTATTACTTACTTTTATTGTATGTGTATGAATGTATTGCCTGCATGTCTGTATGTATATAAGTGCACCTATGTTGTGCACTGCCTGAGAAGGTCAGAAGAAGGCATCAAATTCCCTTGGAACTGGAGTTACAGACAGTTGTTAGTTGCCATGTGGGTGCTGGGAATCAAACTCAGGTCCTCTGCAAAAGCAGCCAGTGCTCTTAATCGCTGAGCCATCTCTCCAGCATCTCCTGTGCAATTTTAAAAAGATAATTTTTTTTTGGTCTTTTTGAGACAGGGTCTCCCTGTAGCCCCAGCTGTCCTGGAACTCACTATGTAGACCAGGCTGGCCTTGAAGTCACAGAGATCTGCCTGCCTCTGCTTCCCAAGTGCTGGGATTAAAAGTGTGCGCCACCACGCCCAGCTAAAAAGATAATTTTTAAGTGAAGGCAAAGTGGTGGTTTTATGCATCTAACTCATTAATGAATGAAGGAATTAAAGAATGTTGCAGATAGATGAAGGATAATTTGAAATTCTAAACTTGGAGCCGCACTAAAGAATGATGACTAGCAGTTTTTTAAAAAAATATATTTTATTTATTATTTTTATTTTATGTGTATGCGTGTATGGCCTGCTTGTAGGTAAGTGCACCCGTGTGGTGCAATGCCTGTGGAGGTCAGAAGAGGCTGTCAGATCCCCTGGTACTGGAGTTAGGGACAGCTATTAGCTGTCCAGTGAGGGTGTTTTACAAACAGATGTAAATGCAGTTTGTCCTGGGGTCAGTAATCAATTTCTTATGCAGACACCAGCAATTTGCATTTTTTGAGAAACATTTGCATTGTCAGTTTGCTGCAATTTACAGAGCTGTAAAAATAGCTCATAGGTAAGGAGCTGTGGGCATAGTCCACAAGTGTGGACTTGGTCTCCTCAAAGCCTTTTGTCCACTTTGATAGATGTTTCGTCCATTTCAAAGCTTTCATGATTTTTTTTCCCTACCCAGTGTTCATCATTCCTTGATGGATGTGGGATGATGGGCACTGCGTTATGAGACAGTGTGGCTTGGTTTATAGACTATTTGATCACAATGCTCAGCCTACTTAACCTTGTGAAAACCATATATAGTCCATAGGAAGGGGAATATGACTGGTATGAATACTTTGACTTTGACTGGGTGCCTAGAGAAAGGAAACTGGGAGAAGCCATGACACCTACGGGGCTGGGTATCCTGGGATTATATATTTCTTTGCTTTGGAAGGGTGGTAGCATAAAGTTGGGACCTCATTAGAGGGTAGGGCCTCATTAAAAATGGGTGTCAGCTCCATGGCTGTGTAGACAGCAGCAATCCTTCAAAGTGCTACAGGGTGTTTGCAAAACTGATTTAGAACAAGGTATGCTTTCTTCGCCCTTCTTGCAAAACTCATCTAGAACAAGGTATGCTTTCTTCTCTCTGCTCTGCCTTTTGGGGTGAGAGCATCTGGCAGCCTTTCAGGGCAAGGCTGACTCTGCCTGACTAGTGTGTAAACTATGGGAGTGGATGCTCTGTCTTTCCATGGCTGTCTTAGTTACTATTAGCAGCAGCATCACTAGATATCTGACTGAAGCAACTTAAAGGAGAAAGGATTTGTCTCACTCAGTTTCAGATGGTTTAGTTGATCATGGTAGAAGGCATGGTGGATCAAAGCAGTTCACAACACGGTGTGCATGCTAGTCAGCGTCCCCCACCCACTTTATTCAGTCTTGGACCCCATCCCGTGGGTGGTGCCACCCACATTTAGGGTAGATCATCCTCTCTCAGTTAATCTTCTCTGGAAACACCTTCACAGACACACTAGAGGTGTGCCTTACCAATCCCCTAGGAGATTCTAAATCTAGACAAGTTAACAGGCAGATTAACCATCACAACTGCTGTCTGCCTCACGCCCATCAAAGTGCGTGGGACATTGCAGGGAAAAAGAAAATATCTGTTTGCTGGATGCTTCATTCAGGAAACAGCAAAAATTAAAATAAATAAATAAAAATATTCCCTTCCCACACCTCCTTTATGCTGCATCTTCATTAATGGTGTGACTTTTCCCAACAGAGGAAGACCAGTCATTGACCAGAAAATTCGCAAAATGCAAGATGTAGTACTGCTCCACTCTTTCCGTCATCTGCATTCAGTGCTGACTTTATGAACTGCTGGTCCTAAGAGCTAAACATGGGTGCTCCAAGAGCCCATTTTCCTTCCATATCTGGCGTTTCTCTCAGCACTTTTCTAAAACGTCACTTAGGTTTTGACTCAAAAGCAAGGATCTGCTTCCTGTGTGTCCAGCTGTGATGGAATGAAAAGGTGATGCACAGCCCACTGGTTCCATGGACAGTCACCTTGTCACCAGTGAGGACAGTAGTGCTTTTGTGTGGTTTTCTCTATCTATGTTACAGTGGTTTTGGGGGGGGGCGGTGTTGAGGTAGGGTCTTAGTATGTAGTCCTGGCTGGCCTGTAATTTGCTGTCCTCAATCCCACAGAGATCCAACTGCCTCTGCCTCTGGACTAAAGGCATTCACCATCATACTCAGCCTCAAATTTTTTAATGTCTTTTTTTTATTATTGTTGAATTTTTTTCTTAAAACTATTAGAATGTGAATAGATTCTACATAGCAATATGCAATATGCTTATGCTAGAGTAACATTATTTATTTAGCTACATTTTTGATATTCCTTTGCTCATTTTTCAGTGTTAAGGCTTGAAGTGCAGGGCCTTGCACACCTTAAGCAAGTGTTCTCCCACTGAGTGACCCCTCTCCCCCAGCGCTATATTAACCTTTTTTAAAGGTAGAATACAAAATGTCTATCTCGGACTTACCCAAACTTTCTCTGTGGCTCATGGTCATGGCTTTGCTCACTGCAGTGAGGAGGAAGTTCCATCTGAGCTGGAAGCTGGCAGCCAGTTTGAGAAACTCCTCCTTGCTTCTGCTTGGCTGTTAGGTTTTTACGATAAAATCAGAAAGAACAGGCATGTTTTCAAATGGTGCACAGGCATTTTAAAAAGAAAAAGAATGATAAGAAGAAAGAGCAAGATGGCAAGATAAGAACGGAGACAGAGGCACACGGGGCCTTATTTCTGGTCTTGCAGTAAGGACTTAGTGGCTCTTTTTTACTAAAAGCCCTGGCATGTCACTTGGGTCTATAGATACCCACAGATACCTGATGAACCCTAAAAACGGGATTAAAGTTGGGCTCAGGAGACAGCTGTTGGTAAAGAGCTTGCCTTGTAAGTATGAGGACCTGAGTTCAAGTCTCAGAACCCACCTCAAAAAGCTGAACCTAGCCAGTCTACTTGGTGAGTTCTAGGCAAGAGACCTTGTCTCAGAGAATTACCTGGAAGCTTGAGGTCCAGATAGCAGCAGTGGAAATGAGAGACTCTGCCTCAGGAGCAAAGTGGAAGGAGAGAACAGACTCCAGAAGAGCTGTTCTTTAACACACACACACACACACACACACACACACACACACACACACAATTTAAAAAATATTTTGGGGAAAAAAGCAACCATATGAGACACAATACCTGAAGTAGTCCTTTAGCCTCCACACATGTGCACACCCACACATGTAATGCAACCCCATCCCAAACTAGTGTTAAGCCTGACATTTCTGCCTCCATTGGACTCCTCCATTCTTGGTTACCTTCTACAGAAGTCCCCTTGGATTCCAGGAGAAAGTGAACCATAAGAGTCCAAAAGCCTACCTTCTCCCACCGAGAGCAGCAACTTTCTCATCACTGACAAAACCTTACCTGACTAACCCTGACCAAACCACATTCAACCAAGGCTGATAAATTAGTACCCCAAAGACAGCGCGGAGAAGGCTGCTTTCTGGTGTAGCCACACTGCTCACAGTTCTTGTCCTGCTTTTCACCATTACCATTTGTTTTTGGGGTTAGTAGATAGACCTGAATTGTTAGAATTCAGGATGCTAGCAACAAATTTGCTCCATTTCCTATGGAGATGTTTCTAGGGCAGAGTTCTCTGAAGTAGGTGGAATGATAGGAAATTGGCTAATTTATTTCCAGTCCCCATAAAAATTTTAAAATGAGGTCACATGTGAATTGTGTTAAGTAAAGTTTATGGAAGGATACTGATTTGGACTGAGTTCCCGCACTGGGTTCCAACAGGGCCAAATGGAGTTACTTAGGTTAAAGATCTACGTCACCGACCTGAAAGTAAGGTGTTTTTGGCCTGTCTGAGAAACGAGGTGGATTGGAAAGGAGATGGGAGGGAGGGAGAGAAGGAAGGGGGAGTGGAGGGAAGAAGGGAGGAAAGTGGTGGGATAAAAAGAGAAAGGACCATGAAATTCTCAGTCCATTCTCCCCTGCGTGATATACTTTGAGAAATATAATATATTATCTTTTCTATCAACGGGTTAAATAAGACAAAGAAGGTTCTATCCTTAAAGAAATTTGTAGGGGCTGAGAGATGGCTCAGTGATTAAGAGCACTGCTACTCTTGCTGGGGACCTAGGTTTGGCTCTCAGTACCCACATAGTGGCTACCAACCATCTGTAACTCCTGTTCCAGGGCACCTGATGCCCTCCTCTGACCTCCTTGGGCATTGCACAACATGGGTGCTCTTGCATACATGCAGGCAATATACTCATACACATAAAATAAAAATGTAGTAAATAAAATTTTTTAAAAGAGAAATTTGTAAAAACACCATTGGGCTGAACTCTCTTCCCCATTCGCCATTTTTCTAAGATTAAAGTTTGTCCTCAAGGTTGCATTTTGATCTGAAAAGCTGCATTTTGCTTATCAGCTGTGCCATTTTGAATTAGCCAACCATGAGTGTGAGGCTGAACTCTGACCACTCAGAATGAGGCACAGGACTTCTTTGCTTTAGGAAGAAAACCCTGGTGGGGCTACTGCAGGGTGTGCTTGCTTCTTAGATTTAGAGCGATTCTGAACCTTCTACAGAAGGAAAATGCTTTTGCTTTGCCCAAATACTTTGGATTGCATGATAATTTTCTTGATGCCCCAGATCCATTTCTAACAATATGGAGGTGTCCTTTGCTTTAACCTTCATGATGAAGGTAACTTTCTATTCTTTCTTTCTTCAGCCTTTCCCTGTCTGTGAACACTGCCATTGTTACAGAGTGGGACACTCTGAACCACTCTGTTTCTGACTGTTGCCCAGTTCAGAAAATGTTCTTTGCTCAAATAAACTGTTCAATTCATTTTGCCCAAAGTGTTTCTTTAGCAGGTGCCACAGAGAAATGTTGAAGGGTGGTCTCACTGAAGTCCAGGCCTGGAGGGAGTGCCACTGGGCCGGTAGATGAGTGTAGACTAGCTTTTCTGCACACCGTGTCTTATTCTGACAAAGAGGCACAGGACCAACAGCACTCCCAACAGTGAAATGGGAGGATGAACTGTAAGCATAGGACTGGTGAGTCCTGAGTCCTGGCCCCTGTGTTCAGCAGAACTGAGGGCATCTGATGGCCCAGGTGGGTCTAACCTGACTGCTGGCAGGATGCTGCCATGTATAACTGAGAGCAGCATCAGGTCACATGTGGAATAAATTATGGAGTAGTGTGACTTTCAAATGCATTCAAATATGTTCTATGATGTCCCCAAGTCTTTCCTAAGTCTTAATCACATGCCATGTGGACCACCCACTGGCTGGCAACTGGATGCCTTTGAGGAAGAGATGGAGAGCCTGGCTGGAGATGATGAAATGTCCTTTTTTCTTTCCATCCTCACAGAAAACCTGCACACACCAAAGGGCTACTCTGAGCTTTTGGGTAGACCGGAAAAACCAATTTCTTTCCATCAGAGTGGGGTTCAGTGGAGTTCTGGGAATAACTTCTATACACAGCGGTGGGGGTGGGATTTAGGTCCAGGCACAGTATTTTTATTACTATTATTATTGTTATTATTATTATTATTTAAGGGTTCATGTAGCCCAGACAGGCCTGAAACATGCTTATGTAGCTGAGGATGACTTTGAGTTTCTGATTTTCCTGCCTCCACCTCCCGAAGTCTGGGATTACAGGTATGTGCGACACTGTGTATGGATTCTATGTGTTTGCTGAGGATCAAATACAGGGCCTCAGCCATGCTGGGCAAGCACCAACTGAATCATGTCTACACACCATGGGAGGTACTTCCTGAAGGCCAACAGGCAGGATCTCTGGGAATCATAAGCACCAGTGAGCATTCATCCCACCACCACCACCATGTGGCACTTCCTCTGTTTAGAAATCACTTGGGTCCAGACTGCAGGAGAGGAGAACAGTGAGAAACACAGCAAAGTTGGACGTTTCCCTCTGCAAGCATTCTGCCAAATGATATCGGCCAAAGCTATTAGTCATTTCTGACAAGCCCAAGGCTGTTTTATTGACAATAGTCTGTACTTGGGGTTTTTTTTTTTTCCTTCAATCAGCTAAGCTATTTTACAAAAACAAGCCCTTCAAATGCACACACACAAAATACCACTTTTCTAACATGCCTCATTGGTAAAGGCTTCAGGGAGAGGATGGTGGAGATGGGCCACTCATGGTGTCACATGGCTGGCAATGTGGACAAGCCTGTCTGGCTGCTCTGAGGCAAGACTGACATTGAGGGTTTCAATAGGCTCATCCTGGTTAAAGTTGGAGGCTGAGCGAGTATTTGGAAGTAAGGAGCAGGCCCTTAAAAGCCTGCATCAGTGACAAGCCTTCAGCTGCCCAGTGAGTCAATGTCTCTGCAGCCATGCGGTTCCCACCATGCCATGGGGGCTCTGAGTAAGCTGTTCCCAAGACCAACAAGGAGGGACACACACCTTACAGAATCTGCAACGACTGCTTTTACTACTTTTTTTTTTTTTTTTTTTTTTTTTTGGCCTAACTGCCTAGCCAATTCCTACCTCCTATTCTTATCATATGCGTTTTCCCAAAACCAAAAGGGAGGGCCCCCCCCTTTAAAAATCTTGCAACGCCTCTTTTTATTTTTTTTTTTTTTTTTTTTTTTTTTTTGAGGCAGGGCCTTGCCATGTAGCACAAGCTGGTTTTGATTTGCTAATCCTCCTGCCTCAGCTTCCTAATCACAGGTGTGAACTATCATACCCACCTCCTCTTCCTGAGGAATTTTCTAGTTTTCCCAGCAGTCTTCATGGACTCTGTTATTAATTTTACTCTTTTTCTTCAACTAAGAGGACAGGGATCTAGAGAAGGCCAGGCTGGGAGGGACATTGGGAATGAAGGCAGTGACAAGAGCCTTAAAGGAGAATGCCCAGAGCTCCTTCCCAGTACCTCGGTCCTAGGGCCTGGTTCTGGCTTTCAGGGTGCTCCTTCCCCATACACTCACTCTGCTCCCATTCTCTTTCCCAAAGCCTTGTCTCCCTCTCAGCTAATTTTAATTCTATGTGCCCTTCACATGTCATTTCAAGTCCCATTCTTTCTTCAAGGCCTTCTTTGTCAATTTATAGATGCCTGGTTTCCATAAAGCTTCCCGCAGCCCTGAGCTCCCCCTGCCAGTGGGGGCCACCGGAGTGATACTGTGGCTTCGTAGGGCCTTCTTGTCTGCTTGAGGCTGTTACCCATGCAGACAGGGATGGAAATCAAACCCAGGATCCCAGTGGAAGGATTCCCAAGAGTCATGTTGCCCATCCACATCCACAGCCAAGTCACACTTGAGGATTCTTTTTGTTTGTTTGCACACAGGCGAGGCAAGTGCTCCACTGTGGACCTACACACTGCCCAGTCCATCTTTGAGTTTTTCAAACACTTTTTATTGGGATGGGTCTGTAAAACACCCAGATGGATATTGCTCTCCCCAAATAGATAGAGCCTCCCCTCCTTCCCACAGTCTACTGACTGTGTACACCCTTACCATATGTTCATAGATACACTGACCTACATTCATCTGTATGAACTCATCCTCCATTCTAACACACACCCGCTTACCCAAGCACATACATATGCATGCAGCCTACTCCCCACACCCTACACCTCCACTCACATACATGCATGCCACCTCACATACATATTTTCCCAAACATACAAGTGCACACACACATGCATACATGCACACACACGCATACACTGTGTATTATGCCACCTTCCCGTTCTCTCCCTTGCCAGAGAAGTGACAGTCCACTTCCTTGTCTTTAACACTCACACATTTGTGACCAACAGAACTTTAGAACCTCCTTCTCATGCTCACAGTTACAAAGAATACTTCAAAGGGATCCCCCTAGGCCTGCACTCTTTGGAAAACGAAGAATGAATTCTAAGATGGGTTTGCCACATCTGTGGTCATCTAGGTCAGAGACATGCTGGCCAGTGATGGGTACTTGAAGTTATAATTTAGCTAAAAGATCAACGCCCACTTCTTTCCTGTAAAAATTCAGAGTTTTGTACCTTGAAGACAAGTGCTTGGAGGTTTGAAGACACGCAATTCAGAAATTCACAGAGATCAGTTGATGTTTCCAGTAAAGAAATTAAACAGCCTAAACCTACAAAGGAACAAAACGAAATGAACAAAAGATTGCATGCATGTCCTAAGCAACCCAGGGGATAGTACCTGAACACCTGAACAACCATTCAGAGGGCCGTCCCAGGGCCTCATGCTCATCTTCAACACAAAGGATGAGTTCCCTGGCTCGAATTTGCACCTCCTTGATCACGTTCTCGGGAATCATTCGGTCCTATCTCTGCCACTTGTTGGAATGGAAAGAAATGTTTTGAAACAATAACCCCACCTTGTAATTACACAGAGTCTGGCTTCAGATGAGCTCATTGCACGATACAGACATGACCTCACCTATTCTTGACATTTTCACAAATGAGCTGATTTTTTAATGCTATTTAAGTGATGGGAGACATCAAAGACAGTAAGTGCCTTGCCTGGGGTTATGCACTCAATCAGGCTGAGCTGGACCCTGTGCATGACGTCAGATCTGGGGGTTCCACCTGAACAGGTAGCACTGCAGGAGGAGGAACTGTGCTCCTTCCTTCCTGGGTGCAGCTGTATAGCATGTGAGTTTAGAAAAGCAGCAAGTTGCTGCAGCCCTGCTCAGGCATGGTCATGGTTTATCTGGACTTCAGAAACATGCCCTGCAGGCACAAACAGTCTGAGCAACATGCTGACCCCTGGCTGGACTCTATCTCCAAGGGACACAAGGGGATGCCAGTGTGCACCAAGGCACCCTAGGCAGACCAAGAGGAAGTTTGCAGGTACCTAGGCACCATGTGCCTTTCTGGGCTCCTTAGGTTGAGGCTGGGGACAAAAACAGGGTATGGTTGCCACCTGGGATCTTGGAGAGCCAGTCTTCTCAGAGGGAGACCTTTAGGCTTTTACTGTTTAGAACTGCTGCCCAGACCCCTGAGATTTTCCAGTTAGGTGTTAACCTTTTCATTGTTAGGCTGAGGGAAGAGAAATATCCCAGGGCCAGGGAAGGGTCTCGATTGGGGACAGCCATAACACTAGGGACAGGGAACACAATCAAGTGACAAGTGGAAGGGGGTTAATGGGCTCTTTTTACCAAGTATGGATATATTTCAGAGGCTTAATAACTGGCACAACCTTGCCAAGGTCAACTCTACTTCAAGGTCAAAGAAAGAATAAGATCATTTGCAGGTGGTTTATATGTTGCTGAATCCATGTATCCGTCTGGTTGTGAGAACTGAAGTGCCCCTATGTGTCAGCAGCTCACTAGATGGCCCGAGATGAGCACAGCTGACAACCTGAAGGAGCTTGCAGGGACTGGTGAAGCCACTTTGGACACAGCTGAGTCACCTGGGGAGGGGCTGTACCTACAAAGGAAGAAGCTTCCAGATCTTCCTGAACCATTCACCCAGGGAATGGCTGAAATAACACAAATAGGAGCCTGGAACCCATTCCTCTTCTGGCAATCACCATCTGACAGCCCAGAGATTGGACCTTCACCCATAATCTGGGGACAGGTTCATAACCACTCATAGCACCCCTCTCAAAACAGCATCCAGGATCTCCTGGAGTCTGGAAAGGTTTTTATATCACTGTGTTTGTCCCTGACCCCAAATGCAGTACAACAGTGCATCACTAGCAACTCATCTCTTTATAGAAGAAATATTTTCCCCTTGGAAAATAATTACGAATGTAGGATGGTAAATGGCAAAAAAGTTTTCATGCTTCACATAACTTGTTTGTGAAGAAGGACCACTTGCTGAAAAGCACCATTGCTAAACTTCACATTGTTAGAATTATACTTGGTAAAATCTGGTGAGGCACAGCACTAACTCCATCCAGTTCAGAAAGTGTGGAAGAGACACATGAATCTGTGTATATACAAGACAGATGCGGCAATGAATTTTTTCCCTGAGGGAGATATCTTGGAAAGAAATATTGCCAAACAGTGACACTGAAGCCTCATCAATGTGCGCACTTTCTCAGCAAACATGTATTGGCACTGATGCCCTGTCTGATGCTTGGGAAGGTCCTAGGAGCACAGTGCCATAGGGGACTTTGTCCCTTCAGAGTAAATACTATTCTGCTGTCTGAGAACTTCCTAGAGATAGCCATGCTGGCCCAAATGAGCCCCCAACACTCTGTAGAGAGCACTGTGAAAGAGAGTTACATTTCATCTCTGTGTGGCTCTCCAGCTCCTCTTCTTGGCCTGAATCACCTTCCAGGACCTTCTTAGAAATATAGAAAGAGCCTTCACTGATGATGGCATGCAGATCTGACTTCAAGAGGCTGACCCTTCTGTTGTTCTTCAGGACCAACTTCATGGTCTAAGGATCAGGAAGGAGAATAACGATTCAGCTGACTTTGCTTGGCTCATCTTCCTCCATATTACAGAGAATTTTATTGTTGTTGAGGGGAAGGAAAAACACCTGTGGGTGTCATCCATTAACACCGAATCTCAAGTGACACTTGAAATGTTCAAGCTGCACACATTCTAGACCCTCTTGCCAGATATCTGCCACTCTTCTGCCTTCCTATTCTCCCTCCAGTCAGTGGCTAGCAAACCCTCCTGTCTGCCCCCTGCCCTGTGGGCATGTGGGAAACTGCTCTTAAGGGAGACATAGAGGCTCACTGCTCACTTCAAGAAATGCTTCACTCCCTCCTGGCTGCTGGGCTGCAACCTACCTTCGCCATGTTGGAAAGGTAGGTCTTTCTTCTGAGTCTTTGGACAAATCCAGTGACTTCTGTGAGGAACACAGACAAGGCCATTATTGGTAGCCCACCCTCCAGCTCCCTTGTGCAGGGGGTAGGGGAGGAGCCCCTGGCTAAGCAAGGAGACCCAACTACCCGAGCCTGAGCCACCTCCTCACAGTCCCCGTTTGCTGGTACTTCCCCAGTAGCTAGAAATTCTGGCAGGGCAACATGCCCAGCAGATGCTCATGTGGCAGACACATCTGTAATCCAGTATCTGGCACATGATGCTATTGGATGAATGGTTTAATCCTTCTTATTCACACAGTGAAGCCTTGACCCACAATAATGGTATTGGGAGGGCTTTGTGAGGTAATTAGTCATAAAGGTGGGTGGAACTTTCCTAAAGAAGTTGGTACTTTTATAAAAGACCCCTCACCTCTTCACCCATGTGACGACAAAGCCCAAAAGACTGTCAGTGAACCAGAAATCAAGTCCCAACCAGGCCAGATCTTCCAGTGCCTCCATTCTGGACTTCTGGCCTCTACAACTAGAAGAAATGAATCTTCGTTGCTTGTGAGCCACCCAAGGCATGGTGCTGTGTGACAGCAGCTGGTGATGACTAGGACAGGTTTTCCGATGAGTCTAGAATTTTCACCCAGGATCCCTGAGTACCTCAACTTTTTCCTCTTTTGGAAAAACCATCAACACAAAGAATGAAAAGGGAAGAGGTAGGCCTGTTCTTCCTGAATGCATTCATTTATTCATTTGACAACTATTGAGGGGGACACTCGCAGCAGGCAGTGGCTGCTGAATGGATGGATAAGGGACAGTTTCTCCTTTTAAAGGGTCCACTGTCTGAGGATGGGTCCCCAGATAGCCAACAGACATCCTAACAAGGAGGAAAGGGCTCCCCTTGAAATGTAAAGGCTTGAAAAGAAAATAAGTGAGAGGTTCTAAGAAGGGAGAGCTGCTCAGGAGGAAGGTGTCTGTCAGTCAGGGAGGAGTCTTGAAGTGGTGCTATTTACCCTGACATGTAGGTGGGAAATAGGAGCACGGAGGAAGGGAGAAGCAGGACAGCCACAGACAAGAGCAGGCACAGGGCCTTTTGGAGGCCAACCAGTCTTGAGTTGGTGCTGGGGAGCAAGCTTTGGGGGTTGGGTGGGAGTTCTCTAGGGAAACAGAGACAAAGATGGGGCCAGAGGCCAAACAATGAGCGACTTTGCACTGTGGATGAAAGACAAGATTGGCTAGGCAGCGAGGTCACGAACAGTTCTCAGATGTTGGCAGATGATCACAGTGATGTTGAGGGGAGTATGCCTGAGGGCTGGGGAGGCTGGAGACAGGATAGTTGGCTGAGAGGTTCTTGAAGCAGCAGAAATCAAGAGCCTGAATTTGGAGCAGATAATTACTGTGGCTACAGGAAGACCAGAGCTCCCCTTCCATGGACACCCTTCCCAACAAACCCTCCATGTTTTCTCTGTAGCCCTCTCCCTGCCGTCTGCATAGGGGGCAGCCACCTGGGTCCAAGCCTGGTCCTGCCCCAGTTCAGAGTGGAGGAAAGTGGGACTGGGGTAGCTAGCATGAGTGCTGAGCAGCTGGGGGCAGTGAGTAGAGATCAGGCAGGGTCCTAAGAAGACAAGATCCCTGTAGACAATTGCAAGGGAAGTGGGCCTAGCAAATGTAGGGAGTGACTGGTGCTGCTTGGTGATGGGACAGCTCTGAGTGAGCTGGTACTAGGAGGGTGGCCCTGAGTGGGGCAGTGTTGGAGAGAGTTGCAGGTAACTGTGGGAACTCAAGAGAGATAGAGGGAGAAAGTAGGCATTTCTAGGACTGTCAGACATGGCATCCATGCGTATATCAGGTGCGGGATGGCTTTGAAAGAACCACAGAGTTGAACGAGCACCAAGGCCAGGCTTGCAGAGGGCTGGCAGAGATGGCAGCTGCCCAAGCTCACAACAGCAAACTGCTGCTTGGCTTGAGTGGCCACTCAAGGTAGCCTGGTGGAAGTAGTCCAGGCTACTTTCTTTATCAGACATGCCTGGAGTCAGACCTTGGGCATGGAAACCAAATATCAGCCTGAAGCTTATTTATGTGTCAGACACCTGAAGGTGCTTTCAAACAGCATTTTAAGTTTTCCTGCATTTTCCTGGTTTGTTGTTAATTTTCTTTATTTGTATGTGTGTTTCAGGGGTTATCATGCCACTGCATGTGTGGAGTTCAGAAGACAACCTGGAAGTTCTCTCCTTCCACTATGTGGGTCCCAGTGATTGAAGTCAGGTCATCAGTCTTGGAGGCAAGCACCTTTAACCTTGCCAACTTGCCTGCCCCGTTTTTATTATTTTTTGAGACAGGGGCTCACTATGTAAGTCAGTCTGGCTGCAGACTCAAAATCCTCCTACCTCAGTTCTTCAATACTGAGTTTCCGGGAGTGCCTGTATTCTGACTGTGAAACCAGGGTGGATCTTTCCACATCTGGAGCATTTTAGTTCTCAGGTTTTCTGTTAAGCAATGCTCAGCCTGTTTTCAGAGATCACAAACTGCCTTCTCCAGGCAGAGGGGAGAAGCATTCTAGACATTCAACAAGGAGATGATGCAACTCAGGTATGAGAGTAAAAGACTGCAAAGAAGCCCTGGTGGTCCGAGGCTGAGGACCACGTAAGGACATGGAGGGATTTCTGAGGAGAAAGTGACATTCTTTGCACAGAGCAGCAAGAGGCAAAAAGAATGCAAGAGCCAGAGGCAACGCATCCTGCTGTGAAGGATGAAAGAAGGTTGCAGGTCTGTCCTCTCCTGTAGCACCCATCTCTCATATCCAGCCCTGTGGTGGAGTCACCCAAAATCTCAGGGAGTAAATAGAAAGAGAATGGATAGGTCTGCCTGGGAACCCATCAAACTCCAGGCAGACCAGGCTCTGAATCCATTTCAGGTGTGAAAGGCAAACATCTTACTGTATGACCACAGGATAGTATTACTCAAGTGCAACATTAAATTCTTCATTTTATGGAATTTGTGGTTTTTTGGAGAAACCTACCTTTGAGTTTGGAGATCTGTAAAATGGCTGGAAAACCTTCCAGAGCATTAAGAAGCCACAGCTTAAATCTCTTACTGAACAAGAGGACAGATTTCAGGTACTGAATAGTGACATCTTCAAGAAAGTCACGGAGGAGAACATCTTCAAGTCCCTGCAACGAAAGTGTCCAACACTGTGACTTGGCCTGCGTGCAGGGCTTCCAACAAGTGGTCAAAGTTCACATGTGATGGAGACCTGACAGGTCTTGAGAGGTCTGAGGGAGGCCACTACCTTATGTAGGGGGGCAACTCTACAGGACATCTGGTCAGGCTGGTGTGCCAAAATTGGATAGAATTGGATTTTTTTTCAAATATTGGTATCTGATTTTTCTTCTTTGGTGCTGTGGATGGAACCCAGGGTCATGTGCATATGAGGCAAGTGCCCTACCATGGGGCTATGTCTCAGCCCATGTTTCAATTTTATTTTAAAACTCCGCTCTAGCCAATACTAGGTGCATCAAAGCCAACATATTTAGGGACTGAACTCAGTCTCTTGTGTTTGACCTTTCTGTGGAAAGCTTAGAAGCACTAGTTTGATTCCTAAAACATAATGAAAGATGAGATTTGAGACCATGCAAAGAAAAGACAACAGTTTCATCACAGAAATGATGCCTATCTGACTTAAAATGTAATAACTGTGCCGGAGCAAAGCAAAGGAAATCCCGGGCAGCGGGGTCTGTTACAAAGCACTTTCTCTGATTCTGTGTTTGAGGTCAAACCAGGACTTTAACCCCAGGACTACTAAGGAGGAGGTAGGAGGATTGTGAGTTCAAAGCCGGTTTCGAAGAAACAAAAAGTAATAAATAAATAAAATATTTTCAGTTGAAATGTCCAGGGCACACAAACTGGCTGAATTTGGGCTCATTGGTGCTGGAATCACTGGTCACTGTGTCCTTTGAGTTTTTCTTTAGATCAGGAAATTGAAAGGAGCAAAACTGACTTTTAGTGAAGATTGAAAATCCCTAGACCATCATGGGGTCCCTCACGCATCAGAGAACCCAAAATGACACTGAGGAGACAGGTTGGGGTGTGTGGGGGAGGGGGTCGGGGTTGGGGGGGAGCGGGAGGGAGACTGCTGTTCTAACTTGGACATTCAGCATGAGTTTCCAGAAGGAACACACAGAGGACATGCATTTCTAGAAGGGCTATGCAGCGGAACTCACGGATCTGCCTACCTTATATAACTGCATGTCATAGCATCGGAAGAGCTGGCGCACATCAGGCAATGACATAAACATGATTGTGTCTTGCTGCAGAGATTTCCAGAAGGATGTAAGTAAGTCTTCCACCTGATGGAACAGCACATAACATCAGAAAGCTATGTTGTACCTGTGAGACTAACTGCGGTGTACACTGAGTGACCTCACAGGGTTGCAGGATAAACTTCTCTCCAATGCACTTCAAGCTTTGCTATCGGCTTTCCCAAATAACCAAAGCCAGCCTGCTTGGTGTTTACGTGGGATCCTATGGAACCTACGTCCTTGGTGTTCTCTACATGGAAAGCTGCTTCTGACCACCAGGGGGCTCTGGTTGATTATAATAGGATGAAGGTTGGGCCACAGGGGCCAAGTCAAGAGTTGAGAATGAAAGTTCATTGACTGACTGATCGATCACCTTGCTCATTCTCCAGCACTGAAAGAAGTGTAACAATATTTCACCTCAGAGATTTCTTCCTCAACACCAAATCTGAAGTCACCTCAGGACCTTGTAAACAAAAGCAACTTCTCTAAGACTTAAGTGGGCAGTATGGAGAGGGACAAAGTGGAAGCGTCCTTCTTTTTCTATGCTTTTCTTTCCAGACTCTACTTTTGAACCAGGCTAGCAATTGCTAGCTAATAAAGAGCCTTGCCTTGTGGAAATGCCTACAGGTACAGATGTTCTGAGACATGACAACAGTGACCCCAACAGGGAGTGAGTCAAGGAAGCGGGGGCCAGCTCTCCAGTGCCATGATGACAGACCCTAGCTTGGAATCCCACGTGAGGGTCATTAATAGTGGACCTTTCCAAAGAGAGTCGGAGAAATACCACACAGGTCCTGTTAATCCATTCATAGCCTGGTCAGTCACCCAGGTTCCAAGTCTCCTGATCCTAGCTCAGGATGTCTCTCCCATGTGTCCCATCTCCCTAATATCTGTTGCCACCGCAGATTAGCCCTGTTCCTTCTCATCTTGACCACGATGGACCCTCCAGTCTAGATACAGCCAGGACCTTATTACTACGTCCCTATCTTCCCAAAGACCTTGCTAGTCCAACCTGCTTTTGCCTCTCCTTCGTCTCCTCTCTTTGAGAGATGAAGTCCTGTTGGTCCTTTAATAACAACATACTGGGGAACATCTTGCTGCCTCTGCCCACAGCATAGGCTCTGACTAACTGTCCCACTTCTGATGTGCCCATCGTCGTGGGCAGCAGCATGGTCTGCTTTGGGGGTCCTCGCTGATTCTACTACTCTTCTGGGTATCCAGAACATTCTAGTCATACAGTCCTCTACTATGTGCAGGGATTTAATCCCCATTTTGGAGAATAAAGATGAGTTTAGTGACTAGGATTACAGAAGGTCATCAGGGTGGAGGTCTGATAGCTGGATGTTGGGGGCTGTATAATAAGAGGAGAATTACACACACACACACACACACACACACACACACACACACACATCTGTGTTGCTTTGGGCTTCCAGCAAGAACACTATCACCATATGAGGCCCTTAGACCCTGTACCTTCAAATCCATGACCCCAAGTATAACTTTTCTCTTTAATAAGTTGCCTTTCCCAGGCATTTTGCTATAGTAATTGCTACAGCTGAATCTAGAATGATCCCCAATAGCTCATGGGTTAAAGGATTAGTCCTTGACTGGTAATGCTATTAAGAGATGGTGGAACATTTAAGAGTGAGGCCTAGGAGGTAGTATTCCAGTCATGGAGGGTGTGTCCTCAAGCAGAATTATGAGGCCCAGGTCTCTTCTTCTTCCTCTTAGCTTCTCACCTGTGAGAAACACTTTGTTCTGCCACTCATGCCTGACCTTTGCATGCTGCCTGTGTCCAGATGTGGAATGACAGGGCCAATCAAAGGTATACTGAAATCTCCCAAACTGTGAACTAAGATAAGCTTTTCCTTATGCCTTATCTCAGGCATTTTGTTGTGTAACAGAAACTAACACAGGGAAAAGTGACTAATAAATAGCTAGTCTAGAGCTTATCAGTATTATTGACTAATATCATTCCTTTTATTACCAAATCATAAGTTTCTCAAGGTTTATAGAAAAATGCCCTCCCAGTCCCAGAAACAGAGCTGGTCACAGGACATGATTTAAGCAAATATTTGATGAGCTGGAGAGGGAAGGAATCTGTCAGAGCCTCAGGGTTATGGGGCCATGTTAACAGAAACTGGGGCCATTTGGAAGCACACTGGTCTCCCTCACTGTAATCCACCAGGCAGCAAAAGTTAGCACTGGCGATGGGTTCCTGCTGAGCGACCTGAAGAGCTCTGACTGCTAAAACCACTGTGAAAACTTGCATGCAAACAAGTACTTGCATCCCTGGATTTTCATCTCATACCTAGGAAGGTAAAATCTGGGATAAAGGTTTATTTAGGCTGGCAAGATAGCTCAGCAGGTAAAGGTACCTGCCGCCAAGCCTGATGACCTGAGTCTGGGACTCATGATAGAAGGGAGGAGAGAACCGATTCCTGAAAGTTGTCCTCTGACTGCCATATGTATGCACATGCATGTCTACACACACACACACACACACACACACACACACAAAATGTAATTTAAAAATTTTAAAAAAGATCTGTTCATGTTTTTCATAGCCAATTCTTTCCTCCCCTTGTGTACCAGATTTGAGTCCAGGGCTTTGCACGTCCTGTAGGTAGGGGCTGTACCGCTGAGCTGTGCCCTTTGTGCCACCAGCTGAGTCCAGAATAAAACCTGCAATACTCATGTCAGATCGCTTGTTTCAAAGTCCCATTTCTGTTGGCATGGACAGAAAGAATGGCTCTAAAGCAGGCTTATATTATTACCCATACTTTATTCAAATTCAGCTGGAATCAGGATCTAAAAATAAGCTGAATTTGTTCTTAAAGCATCACACTACCCACATTAGAACCTTGTAGAATTTCCAAGGCTAAGCTGAGTACCAGGCCGCCTTACAGAACTCACCAGTGACCACATAGCTACACTGCAGGTGCCTGGGTGCAAAGGAAGACTTCTGGGTACCCATGAGGGGTCTACTCACGTTAATGGCTAACAGTGTTCATGAATGCTTGCACTGTATGGAGAAAAGCCTACCTTCTCAAGCTCTTGGTTCTTCACGTTCTGTAAAACGTCTTGACAATAGCTGCAGTACTCATCAGCCAGGAACACTACCTAGGAGGCACAGAACATCCTCTCAGCTTTCAGTCACTTCTAGAACCATTCTGAGAGACCTCAGGATGGAAGCTCCCTCAGGTGGCTGTTCTGACAGTACTTGGGCTTTTCATTCAGCGTGTGGAGGTCTTGGTTCCCAAGGATTAAAGTATGCTTGTTGACTTACAGCTCATGTGGCTTTAACTCTGTCATGGAACTCCTATATCACCAGGGTTTATTCCATTGCTTCAACTTTTTGGAGTGTGTATTTTATGTTTGTGTTTTATGTGTATGTGTATGTATGTAAGGGGAACGTGTACATGTGTGTATAGAGGCCAGAGGTTGACATCGGGTGTCTTCCTCTGTTGCTTTCCTTACTGATTTTTATAGGATTTTAAAAAGTCATATTTATTTATTTAGATGCGTGTATGCACATGGGCACATGCATGCCGCGGCATGTGCGTGAAGGTCAGAGGACAACTTGCAGAAGTTGGTCCTCTCCTTCTACTATGTGGGTCCCAGGGATCAAACTCCAGTCCTGAGGCTTGGCAAGAGCCTTTACCTGCTGAACCATCTCACTGCCCCCCCACTCCTTTTGAATTGTGTGTGTGTGTGTGTGTGTGTGTGTGTGTACACACGTGTTTGGGTATGTGTGCTCGTAGGTCAGGAAAGCATCCTGCATCCTGCACTATCAGTCTCTCTTGAATCCTTTTAGACAAGGTCTTACCGAACCTGGAGCTAGGCTGGAAGCCAGCAAGCAACAGCAGCCCTCCTGTCTCTGTGCCCGACAGTGTTAGGGTTACAGGTGTGTGTAGCCATGCCCAGCTTCTTACATGGGTGCTGGGGATCTGAACTTGGGTCCTCATGCTTATGCAGAGGGCACTTCATGGACTGAGTCATCTCTCCAGCTCAAAGGCCACCAACTTCTGACACCATTCTTCTGAAACTCCAGCACATGTGCCTGTATTATTTCCTAGCTCCAGTTTCTGGAAAATTCACACCTCTGACTCCTCTTTGTCACAGGGAAGATGACAGCAATCCCTAGGGGCCTTGCTTAGGCTGTGAGGGGCAGACCACAATTTCTAGGCTACCACCACACCTAGGAGGAAGGTTGGCTCTTATATTTCTGAGAGAACGGAAACAGTGTTCCCAGTGATGACAGGTGAAACAGGAGGGTGCTTCTGTCAAAACCACACCACCTGAAGGGGCAGTTTTCCCTCAGAGACAAACCTACCATTTTACAGGAGTATTTATTTGCCAGCTCTTGCTCCCAAAATGGACATCTTCTGAATGGAGACAAAGGTGATCCTGCTGGGTCCATCTTTGTTGGTGAGTGATTTTCACACTGAAAGTCATTTACACAATGCATGATTATTTCTTTAAAATAAAAGGCATTAACCAAGTCACAGTCACAAGGCTACTGTAAGTTAATGTTCCTCTATCCACAGTCCTGGGAGTGTTACTGGTTTCAGCAACTTTCTCCTCATATTCCATTGCAAACAGTGTTAACCTTTCCTATAATTCCATGAACTATATCACTTTTGGGGTCCTGTGCCAGAGTCCAGTGCTATACAACTATGTTCACTAAAAATATCCCGAGTACTGTAATATCACATATATAGTTAAAAGCCCTTGTCTGTAGAGTTGTTGCTTCTTGAAATACAACTGGGTCCTGTATGGCTTGTCATTCCTGAATTGGGAAGATGGCTAATTGTATCAGAAATCCTAGGTGGACAGAGAAAATGAGTGTCACAGGTTTTTCCTTTAGAATAAGAAGTTACAGGTAGGAATGGAAGAAAGGGTAATGTGGCAGGATGTACACGGGGCCCCACCTCCTCATGCTGTCTGCCTGAGCAAGGGGTTGCGACTGTTCCTGCCCAGAACACGGTTTTATTTGAAGTGATTTCTACAGGATTTTGTAATAGTTTTTCTTAGAATAAAGTGGTATAAATTATTCCTACAGATGGAATTTGAGTTGCAAAGTCAGCCACCCTGAACCGAGGCTTCTCACCTCTCTCCACCCTTAGGATCTGCTCAGTTCTGCTGTCAGAATTCTGGCAGCCCCCAGGTCAGCACTTCCCCATAGTTTCCTCAGTTCTCACACGCCCATGGCTGAGCTGAGCCACTTGCCTGTTTCTGTAGGCTTTGGTATGCTGCTGTCTATCAGGTTCCTGAGGGTTAGATGTTTCTCTGACCACCTGGGCCCCTTCCTTAGGGCAAGGGCCATGCTCATCCACCACCCCACACTGTGCCATGAATACTAGAGAACAGTCCCCTGGGATTTCCCTTCTTCAGTGACATCCCCTTGTTACCACTGAGCATCACACCGAAGACCAGGAGTTGGAGATCATGCCCAATAATCAGCGCTTCTTAACTCTTCCATGCTCCTGAACCTTTTTGAGCATCTGCTGAAAGTATCTGGCCCTGTCCCTAGGGAAATTCATGTTGTGAATGTGACAATGCAAAGATGCAGGTTCACACTCCTCTGGTGAAGCAGGACCATCACCATCTCAGCACTCAACACAGGACAGTGGTGACATTCATGGGTCTCTTTCTGAGGATGTTGTCCGCACTCCACTTCTTGTGTACTTTGAGACAGTGGCTTTACTCAGATGGGGGTCTTTGGTCTGTGGCAAGTGGTGACAGACTGTCAAGAAGGGTGTGCCTATTTCACAGAGTTCACTGCCTGACCATCAGTGCTTCCGCTATAGAGGACCAGGAAAACTCAATTCCAGATCAGGGCAGCTTCACACAGTGAAAACCCCACTGCACCTGTCTGCTTCGGAGCTCCATCTCCCTGGAGACATCTGTTCTCTGTCTGCTACTGCTGTCTTCATGTTTCTCAAAGTGTGGTCCTGATGCCACCCCTCCAACCCACCAATATCACCTGATACTCTGGACCCATATTCCTAGTTCTCCAGTGATTCCTAGTTCCCCAGTGATTGAGAGCAGGCCAGAAACTTAGAATTTTTAACCAGTTTTCCAGTGGAGCACACTTAGGTTGAGAACTATTGTTCCAGACAGGTGTGTGTGTGTGTGTGTGTGTGTGTGTGTGTGTGTGCGTGTGTGTGTGTGTGTTGCACATATGTGAGGGTGTATACTTGTGTGCATGCATGCAGAGGCCAGAACAGGATGCCAGATGTCTTCTTGTTACTGTCTATATTTTATTATTTAAAAATTTTTTATTATTTTTATTTTATGTGTGTGAATGTTTTGCCTGCACCATGTGTGTGTGATGCCCACAGGGGTCAGAAGAGGGCATCAGATCCCCTCAACTGGAGTTATGGATGGTTGTTAATCACCATGTGGGTGCTGGGAATCAAACTTAAGTCCTCTGGAAGAACAGCAAATGCTGTTAAAGTCTCTCTATTTCCACATGGCAAATATATCAGTGTTTCACCTGTTCAGAAGTCATGGGATGGTTGCCAGGATCATAAGGGCATTCAGCCCTAAATGGATTATCTTTATCGTTCTCCAAGGCTTATGGAAAATCTCACAAGAGGGGGTGTAAGATGTAAGAACCAGAGGGTCAAGAGGAATGCTCTGAAATTCTGTCTTCAGATGTGACTGTTGCACTCATAAACTCACAGTAGCTGTGGACACCTGTGGGTGCTGGGAACCCAACCAAGGTTCTCCATAAAAGCAGGCAATGCTCTTAACCACTGGGCCATCTCTTCAATCCCACAAAATAGATTTTTAAAAACAGATTCTTGTCAGTGAGATGGTATCTGTTAGGGACAGAATGTCTGTGTCCCTCCAAATCTCTAGATTGATTCCTTAATCTCACTGTGATAGCATTTGGAAGTGGGGCCTTTAGGAGCTGATTATACCAGGAGGGTGGGCCCTCCTTACAAGACACCAGTAGAGGCTAGCTCATACTTTGCCACCTAAAGACAAGATAGTCAGCTGTCCACAACTCAGCACAGAGCTGTTGCCAGCACCTACCCAGCCAGAACCACGAAAAATAAATGCATATTGTTTAAAACAACCAGTTTGTAGTAATTCATTTTAGCAAACTGAGCTAAGACAGTATCAAAGCACTCTCATGATGTCTTGGCCAACTAAAGCAGGATTCAACCCACAGTATCATAGATTAGCTATTAATAGCTGTAGTGTTTCTAAAGAGTTGTAAGAATAATATAGAGGTATATTAAGACAAATTGATCAATAACAGTCTGTACATCTTTTTAAATTATAGCTCAAGAAACACAACTAAGAAGTTACTGTAGCTGAGCAGTGTGCTCCCCAAGGACAGGGGCTAGGCCCGTCCCAGCAATGAGCTTGGTGAATGCTGGACATCCAATAGTGTCAATACACAGGTGGCAGGTTAAGCATTAACAGAATGAGAACACCACACACAGAAAAACAGTTGCATCCAAGTAAGTAATTCCCATATATGAGTGGGTCTGTTATATCATCTATTTATTCAATACTCACAGTTTGCTCTTGTTGGATAATGCCGTTACAATCAGCAGATTTTCCAAAGGTAACCACATCTCCACTGCATAAGAATAGACAGCAGAAAAATTATGTTAGCGAGATACCTGTCTCTAAATAGAAGAGTGAAATCTCTTCTGCAGCCAATTTGTTTGTTTGGGATATAACTCTTATTGTAAAACCTTCTTCCAAGTTTCTATCCACAAATGGAGATTGTCATGTGGTAGGAATTTTTTTTTAAAAAAAAATCTATTTCTGTAACTGGAACAACCATATATATATTTGAAGGTTATTCCCCTCAGAAGCAAAGATAGATCATCAGGGTCACAACTTACTCCTCTGGGACACAAATATCACCATGAAAATGGGATCTTATTACTTTCTGACTTCAGTGTTTTAAATTATCAACCCAGAAGTGGTAATGTCCTTTGACGTGATGGACGTGGCAGACACCTTTGCAGAATGAGAAACCATATATATATTTGAAGGTTATTCCCCTCAGAAGCAAAGATAGATCATCAGGGTCACAACTTACTCCTCTGGGACACAAATATCACCATGAAAATGGGATCTTATTACTTTCTGACTTCAGTGTTTTAAATTATCAACCCAGAAGTGGTAATGTCCTTTGACGTGATGGACGTGGCAGACACCTTTGCAGAATGAGAAAACTCGTGATTAATAACGGACACATACGTTTCACTTCGCCGTGCTTGTTGGATGGCTGTAGTCTAACAGAGATGCACATAACAGAGAAAAGAGTTAGTCCTATTGATGTGGTGTGCTCTATTTCTCTCAAATTATGACCCTTTGGGAAAACGGCAGCCTAAGGCCCCCCATTTGCATCAGGGAATGTACTTTCTCTGGGTATGAGAGAGGATTGTCTCTCCTCAGCTTCCGTTTGCTGAGCTGAGCACAGGCATAACGGGGGAGGATTGTCCACCCAAGTCAGCACAGTTCTCTCCTGATAGTGCACAGAGAAGCTGAAGGCAGAGAACTGCATTATTCCTCAGTCCTAGACACAGAGCAATCAGGTCAGGGTGGACCCCCGCCCCCAGAGGTGACAGCAATGTCTTTTGTCATATACAGGAAGGAGATCCAAGATCCCACATTCCTGACCAGTCTCTCAAAAGCATCAGGAGCTGTCTTCTCAAGGTTTGTATCATCCTGTTTTCCCATCTGAGTCATGAAAAACTGGGCAAAATATTTATGTACATCTGATATATGTTCCTGCACAATACTCTATCCAGTCACAATGCATAGGCCAATAACCCGAGTCCAAATCCTTTAGTAAGAGCTGCTATCAAAACATAAATGTCATTTTGGATATTCTGAATGGCTCATGGAACATGGGATTCATCCAAATCAGAGGAATTTATGTACATAGGATGGAGGCAACTGCTAGAAGGTGGAGAATTTGAAGTTTGTTAGGATCTAGTTGTCATGCACTGTGGACAGAGCTGTTTTCCCCAATTCACAGGTTGAAACTTTAGCCCTTAATGTGACTAGACTTGGAGATAAAAGCGTGTGTGTGTGTGTGTGTGTGTGTGTGTGTGTGTGTGTGTGTGTACACGCGCATGAGGCTAGGTGGCTGGCCAGCAGGTCCTAGTATCTGCCTGTCTCTGCCTCCCATCTCGGGAGTCACAGGCATGTATGATCATTCCTAGCTTTTACGTGAGTGGTAAAGGGTTTTTTTTCTTTTGGCCTGGGGTGGGGGTATCATTTTGAGCCAGGATCTCTCTGTAGCCCCAGCTGGCCTGAAGCTTGCTGTGCAGACCAGGCTGGCCTTGATCTCAAGGCAATCTGCCTGCCTCTGCCTCCCAAGCACTAGAATTCAAGGCGTGTGGTGGGGCTTTGAACTCAGGTCCTCCTACATGCGCAAGTGCTCTTACCCACCCAGTCATCTCCCTAGCCCTTGAAATAGAAGTTTTAAGGTGATAACTAAAGTTCAGTGAAGTCATTAAAATGGGGCCCTAAACATGATGCCTGTAGCTACAAGTCCCTCTTCAGGCAGGCTAGCTGAAAGTGTTTGGATCTAAGATGGTTGTCAGAGTGGCTGCATACATGCATTATATGCCAAATCACACTCCACTCTAGTACATGGTGATCAACAACTTCCTTGAATACTGCCAGAAAGAACCCCAAAAAGAGCAGGAAGGCAGGCTGGAGAGATGGTCAGAGGTTAAGAGCACCGGCTGCTCTTGCAGAGGACCCCGGTTCAATTCCCAGCACCAACATGGCAGCTAACAACAATCCCTAAGTCCAGTTCCAGAGGATCCTAATCCTTCTTCTGACTTTTGTGGGTATTGCACACATGGGTGCACTTTCATACACGCAGGCACAACATTCATACACACAAAATAAAAATAATGTTTTAT